AAGTGTATTATAAATAATCATTTACTGCAATAAGCCTAAGGAAATTACGTCGATTTGAGTAACTCAACACGCAATTCATAAATTAGTCTTTATTTTATTTTATTTTATAACCGTCGTTGAACAGCCGACCCAATTTTTGGGTTTACGACTACTAATGTTCAACTCCGTAGCCTTGTAATTTTGAACCCAATCCAGAAGACAAGGGAACTCCTGGATCAAGTATTGGGAGAAATTTGCCTTCGTGGAGGGACTTTTTGAGGGAACTAATCCGCATTTGTGTTACATGGAGAGGAAGACTACGAGAACCTCCCACGGTTAGCCTGACGGAAAGGGGACTCTAACCCATGATCCGTCTACCACTGAGGATATTTCACGTCAGCACTGTGGTCGATGCAAGCCGGATGCGGAATTATGGTATCGACCAGCCATCGCCGGGATCGAACCCCGGTTCACCTGATTGGAAGGCGAACGCTCTATCTTCGAGACATCGTTTCTATTAAATAGAGTAAACACGCCAAGAGCTATGAAAAGGCCAAATTTATTTGTAGAAACAATGACAGAATTGCTATGACAACCCTAGAGGGTTGTTGAACCCATCTAGGAGAGTTATCCTGAGATGTATAAAAGTTGTTATGATTTAAATTTTTTTCCTGCACAATTGGATAATTATCAGTTACGTCATCGTTTCACCAAATGAGCTATATGATGATTTTAATGAGTCTAAAATATCAGACATGTTAGGAGATATTGAAGACCTCTAATTATCCTGGTGAATGGAAAAATGCTAATGGCATTTACAAAATGCTGGTGGCATTCGTGAAATGCAGGTGCCATATGCAAAATGTTGGCGACCTTTGCAAAATACCGGTGACGTCTTTAAAATGCCTGTGACATTCTTTAAATGCCGTAGACATTTGCAAAAAGCCGGATTTCCTAATTAACCTAACAATATGAATTTCGCCTCTATCATAGAAATGGGATATAGGTCGAACGAACCCTCTGATATATTTTCCCGTCATTTCTTTACGTTCCAAACATCAGAGTCCTCTCAATCACGTGCTTCCCTTCTTCTCGATTTTGACGTCGAAAAAAGACAGTTCAGATGAGTTCTCTTTTTCTAGTAGACTCATGTTTTGTACTTATAAAGGCAATGGAGAAGAGTTGAAAGATTCAGGATTGTTAAGATTATTTAAACTTTACCCTCCCTCCTGTGTTGATAGGATTAGCTTTAACACCACTGCCAGTATTCTCAATTTTTTCATATATTGTTGCTTTTAAGACGATTTCCATTGAAAAAAATCAGACGATTTCCTAAATGAAGTGCTAAATAAATTTTTAAAAAAACTTTGCCCCATTTTTAGAATAGTACAATGTAAATAAACAAAGAAGGAAACAAACAATATGAAACCAAAACTTCGCCTACTTTATAGCACTAAAATTTAAAATAAATACTAATAAGTATTAATAATAAATAATAATCACAACTTTATGGTTTAGTCCAATCAATGGTCATGGCTAATCATAACTTTATGGCTATAAAACGATAACTTTATAGTTTAGTTGTGTTTAGTCCGTTTACATTTACTTGCAAGATCGTTTTCAAAGGACAAATTTGGGTTTCAGAATTAATAAAATGGAACAATCGGGATTCATTTGATGCTTTAAGGAAAAGAAGAACATGCCTAAAGTTAATTTATATAGTAAATAAAGCAATTGTTATTCCAAAAAGTGATAAATTAACTTAGCTGTGAAATGTGAAATGTTTTCCTTTAACAAATCTTTCCGTATATCCACAGTAATTTACCATATTTTAAGATTTTTGACTTTATAAACCCCCCCCCCATCGATTTTCTTCCATTGAAATAAAAAGGGAAAACGGAAGTTAGAAAAATTCTCTCTAGATTCGCCCTCCTGTCACGTGGTTTCTTTCTAATATCTTGATGTGCGTGCTCTAATTTCATTCCATCTCTATGGTTTCAATTCACTTTGTTTACTGAACCCTTATTTCGCAGCAAACGTTTCAAATATTAATTTAATTATTTTCGCTCTCGCCACTGTAACTAGTGTAGCCAACGCTTTACTTCAATAATCAATAAATCAACCAATTTAATAAAAATATACCTTTAAAAAGCAATAAAACTGTAAACATGAAGTCATCTCCTTGTTTCATTACATGTTGATTGAATTTCAATTTTAAAATAAACACAGAGGGGGTTATACGTAAAATATGAAGTTTCTTTTTTAATTAGGTCTAAACTATACAATTAAAAAATTTCTTTCTCATTCTTTAATTAGACTTTCAGCTTGTCAAACAGATAAATTGATAACTTAAATTTTAAATTAAGAAAACGATTATGCAAAATGGAACCATAGAGACAAAATCTTTATCTCCAATAGTGAAAAAAAATTAGTGCCTCTAGTGTTTCGAAACACTTGATAAAAATTCAAACAAGTAGTAGGTGAGATTACAAGTGATGTAATAATTAAGTCCTCACCGGAGAAAAACCTAATCCTGAAATTGAATTTAACACAAAAAAATGGCAAGTTTTTGCAAAAAAAAGTATTTTAATTAAATTTATTTTCAAGGAGAGGCAAAATATACGGCTTAAATTCGTAACATTAAAATGTCAACATTGCTTCTGAGGGTAAGATTGTATTTAAATCATCGTTTTTCAACATTGCAAAGGTGGCAAGAAAAAAGAGAAATATAATTCGAATTTCTCAAGAAGTAATTAAATAAGACTGCTTTCTTATTTTCTCGACGAGACTTAATTAGTTAAGTAAGAAAAAGTATGCTAGATATAGCGAAATGCGTAACAAGATTTCGAGAACATGTTTTAGACAGTTAATTATTTTCTAAGAGGTCTCAGATAGAAAGAATAAACTTTTACATCATTTTATAAGAAGCTTAAAATTAATGTAAACTTGGTATTTTACAGCAAGTAGTATCTAATTTCAGGATAAATAATTTTATACAAAATTTATGTAAATGTTTAAAAATATTTAAGTTTGAAAAAATATTTAAGTTTGAAAAATATTTTGATACCGTAATACATATTTTCTTATAAATTAATATACATATAAGATATTATAAAAATATATTTATGTATAAGACGTGTTTTTGAGAAGATATTTTATGCAAATTAATTAGATTTAGAGTTCAGCATTTGGAAAACATAACTATATTTCCAATTAATTTCATAAAAGAAAATGTAAGATAAGTCTAAACTTATTTTTGTCACAAATATTACATAATTTTTACTTTATCACCAATAAATAGTAAACTGTTTTTAAATGTGTATAAATACTATGTATAACAGGAATAAAGCAAAACAATGCAAATATAGCTCAAAATGGACATACTATATTTTCGGTTTTATAAACAAGAATCTCCCTCAGTGTCTGAACACAAAATGACGGAAGAAAGGTACAAGCATGGTGCAACAAGGAAAAAAATAAGTGACTTAACCAGTAGAAGAAGAAGAACGAACTTAAATAAGATAATAAAAGAAGGAAGGTAAGAAAGAGGTGTGAGAGGTTAGGTGGGAACCCTAGGCTCTATGATGTGGAAATATAAATTAGAATGGATTTCCAAAAATATGAGATTGTAGAACATGAAATGATTCCCAGAAGTCCAGGTTGGTAGATTCTTCATTTGGAGTAGGTTGCGTAAAATTATTGGCTACAAAACCAGCGTGTTATTTTCATAACTTTTTTTATGAAGTTTTGATTTCCACCTGACTTTTGGACTTATGTATATGTACATGACTTTATTTCTCTTTAGTATCTGTAAACAAACTCATGACTCGCATCATGAATTACTTTTCGTTTGTAAGCAAAAGAACACTTTGAATACTGCAGTGTCTTGAAAAAACTTTCCTTATTACAACAACATCCACAATATTCACCAGATCTTTCATACAATATTCCCTTAAGTATTCACGAATCCTTCTTTCGAAACAAAGCTGGAAATTGCAGTTCTTCAGAAGCTGGTAATGCTTGTTGGCATGCTGTAATATTTTGAACTACGGAAAATACTTATACAACGGTGTGAGCATTTTTTAGAGATACTATAATATCTTTTTATATGCAATGATTCATAAGGGAAATTTTCCGAAAGCCCGTGACTTACGTTATTTCTTAAATATAGAATAATTTTGCAATATTCATATAATGAAATCCTATAATTTACTCTAATTAATGAATTGAAAGTAATTTGGCTGATGGTGATATATTATACAATGCCACAGTACCTGATGCATTAAGAAACTTCATAGAAAAAATATTTGTTACAGGCTATGACTAACTGTTAATGCATGAACTCTCCCTCACAGTTGCTTGTATACCGTTCCTAATTTTTCAAGAATTTCTCAAAATCCACTAATACATTTAACTTCCATCCAAATTTATCAAAATTTTGAATTATGCTACCGATTTTAATTCACATTTAAAAGAAACTTCCTAGACTTAAAAAACAATATGATTACTTATTGAAATATATTTATTCTCTTTTTTATCTCATAGACACCCTTACGTGAGATTAGAGATAACAATGATACTTTCCATCTTGCAAAAGATAGTACATGAAAGAACAATTCGAAAAGGTACACATAGGCCTACTATTGGACCAAACATTAAAAAGAATATAATTCTTATACCATTCTTACCATCAAATGCGTCCAAACCATATAGGTATTTAATATGATGTATGATGAAAAAAGAAAAAGAAAAATTCAAAAGATGTTGAACCAATAAATCTTCAAGATTTCATTTACGGACTCTTTTGATTTTGACGATAATTGTCTATATTGAATACTTTAACTTCATTATTTTAAAATTTTCATTCGCTTTAAAAATATATAAATAGAAGATAGCAGTCGACAAGTTTCAAGCGCTCAAAAACAGGTGCCCATTCTCAAAACTTGTCAAATTTTATGTTTTTCACTTTTTTATGCATAAATGTTGGCAACGTTTAGTTAAATATAAATGTAGAATCTTACCTCTGTGTCCTCCTCCACCTCCTCCAGATGTGCAGCCGCCTCCACCACCACCAAATCCACCATCCGTCCCCCATGCACTGGCAACCATGCAGACCATACCACCACGGCCACCTTCTCTCAAAGATTCACCACTGGTTGGATGACCGGTATTGTCATCCCAACCTCCACCACCACCTGAAATTGGAATTAAAGTAGTTATTATTTTGTTAATAGTTTTTTTTAAATGAATTGTATTGTTTACACCATCGCCTATACATATGTGGATTGTTTTTTCTTCTTTCTTTCAGAACAATTAATGCAAACTTAACCCTTGTTTTGAAATTATTGTAGTCCGTTGTTCTGGTATTGGTTGTTTAAAACTGATTTATTTTTCCGGCCACAACTATAGTAAGGCCTACTACTGTTGTCGAGTAGACGGATCGCGGGTTCTTAAAAACTTCCCTCTGCCGTCCGACTAACAGTAGTAAAAAATCCATATTTCCCCTCCCTGTAGCACAAATGCTGGTTTGTTCCAAAAAAAAATCTTCCAGCTAGTTTGAAAAATGCTTAACCCATGTGCCCTGTATTCTGGGTTTGGCTCAAAATTACATGGCTACGGAGTTGAACATTGCTAGTCGTAAACCAACAAAGGAGTTCAACTCTGGCAGCAAAATAAAACATAACTATATATATATATANTGCGAAAATGATCCTTTCACCCCAGCATGACTTATCTTCACTGTGTAATTATTCTCGGACAGATCCGATCTTTGACGTTATTGATTTGTGTCAAAACTTACTAATAGTTCATATATATATATATATATGCCTTGCCCGTGATTCGAACACGGAACCTTTCTGATGCAAGGTCAGTTTCCTGACCCCTACACAGTCCTGCCCGCGGAATTGTAACATAATTTTGAGGAAAAATAACGCTTAATGTATTTTTTTTATATTTAAGACTCGGTTTGATGACAATTTGGAAAGCTTAGCAAGATTCTCGGCAACCATTTTACGATAAATTGATTTTTTTTTAAAACTTCCAGTTTCAAAAGATAGGACAATATTTACAGAGCTATGCGAGAAACGTGTTGAAACGTGTTACTGGCTTTAGTCGCTAAGCCTATATAAATAGGGATGTGACTTTCAGAGCTGAGTAGTAGTTATGTGAGTGTAGTTGCGTTCTGACCTGATTTAAATCATTGATCCGTCTGAGAGTGTGAAGCCATTGTATTTAATATATACGCTGTTATATACATATTTATGCAAAATTAGAAAGCACTCCTTATTGCTGATATAACCGTGCGAACTGATGAAGAGATTATATCTTTTCATTTTTTTTTTGTTTTCTAGCTTTTTAATTTATATATTTTTTTTTATTTTTTAAAAATATATAATTTTTATATTTTCTTTTCTTTTTATTAATATTTATTATTTCCAACATATATTTTTAATATATAGAAATTTATTATTTATACATTTTCTCTGTATTGTATGTTTATATAAGTGAATAATTTGTATTTTGCGAAATAATTATCTAAATTAATTAATAGGAAATTGTTGATATTCATCTTAACTAAAACACTTCCTTTAAATGTCAAAATATCAAAGAAATGTTACATTTTAAAAATATATTTCTAAGAAATTTTATCCTGAACAAACGATAACTAAATTTTAAAGATAAATATATGCTCTCGCCTACAAAAGATTCCACTCTTGAAATTAATTAAAATCAAACAAACTTAGTAAGCTGATGTTCTAAATCAAACAACCATTTTTAATAAGGATTACGAACGTCAAACTGCAAATACTAATTTCAATGTAACTATTAATGATTATCTTTGATATTTGCGAATCCTAAAAACTCCTCTTTTTCTAAACAGCGTGATATGTATTTCCATTATTTGCAAAGAGAAGAAATATTCAAATGCCTTTTCAAAAGGATTTTCTTCAATTCTTTTTCTGTACTTTTTTTTTCATTTCATACTCATTCAAACTTTTTATTCAACATTTCTTCTGAATAGGTTTAAAATAAAAGAATATATTTGCTAAAATTGTAGTTTACTGAGGATACTTCTTTCATTCGCTTCAATTGGGAACATATTTTATAAAATATTTTTTTTTCATTTATTTTACTTCTAAATCTGAATAATGCGAACAAAAATTATTCGCTATGAATACCGTCAGCATTTTTTAACTTGATATCGAATTTAAAAATACATCATTCGAAAGAGTATTGTATGTGTTTAAAGATTTTGAATGAGTTTAAATTACGAATTTGTATATATGCTTACAAATTTTATATTTCTAAATTTATGAAACACAAATGTAACTAATTGCAATTATTTATATCATATCACTAGAAATAAGTTTAAGATGCATGATTATTCTAGTTTGTAATTTATTGTAGCTTGTGAAAGCCTTTTAAAGAAACTCAACTTTCTCAAGCAGAGAAAATACTTTAATCAAGAAAACTAGGACTAGGGTTCGACTCCCAGTATGGACACCACAATATGTCCTCCAATTCCATATGTAGAGTTTTCATTCTCATACACTCTTCAATTGCTCCTTATTAAAAAATTTTAAAAACTATTTCAATAGATTTACAAGTCTTATAAAAATTTATTTTCAAAATAAACAAACGGAATTCATTTATAGCGCTTAGCATGATTTTGCCTTTACCATCACAATCAATCCAATTATAAAAACAATACATCTAGAAAACAGCTTTGTAAGGTTTTTGTTATAAATAACGTACCTAAGATAATAGACAAAAGCAAAACAATGGATAGGTTAACAAAAGAAAAATAGAATACAAAAGATGACTAATATGAATCGTGCGGAATAATGCTAATATTAATCTCAGAAACCAATAAAAAGGGAAAATTCCATTTTTTTTTTGTTGAAAAGAAAGTTTTTTTTGGATACATCTTTTCCCATTGAAAATAGATTTTTGCTTTTATTATTCCGCAAACGAAAGGATATTTCTATTACTCAGCTGATGTTGCCTTTTTTTTCCTTCTTGAGTGATTAATGATAGTCTTTATTGAAATTCTCCTCATCCCTATTCCCATCGATTAGTTTTTCAGTTTTTTCATATATATGTGCAGTCAAACTCCGCTATAGTGAACATTCAAGGGACCGAAGTTTCGGTTTAATATAACCGGGACTTCACTATATCCGTTTCGCAAACAATTTTAACTAATAGTTCCTAACTCCCCCCTTTTATTTCAAATTATTTAAATCAATGACTAATAAAATGAAATGCAAAAAGGACAGAAACATAGTACGTAGTAACAAAAATTGTCTTAACTTTTATTTTCTATTATGTAATACAAAATGAAAGTTACGTAATAAAAAAAAAGACGAAGAGTACTCTTCGTCTTTCGTACAAAAATAAATAGTAATCTTAAGCTGATGAGCAATCCTCAACATCAGGTATGGAAACAATTCCCGATTCTCCAATAATTTTTCCTGAATTTATGTCATTCCGCTTTTTAAATCTGTCTAATCAACCATTCGAGCACACAAAAGTAGTAGTACCAAATCGCTTAGAAATCTCATCGGTTTTGTCTTGAAGCATTTATCCAGATACTGTAAGATTGCGGCTTCTTTGAATGCTCAACCAATTCAGAAACAAACAAGAGAAAATGCTTATCGTTACATTCTATGCTCTCTAAATAGTAGCATGTAAGTTTCTCCCACCCCTATTTCTTTCTCTATTTTAAAGAAAAACTTTGCAAACTGTGGTATGCCGATATCTTTTGAACAAATTTGAAGCTGCTGACTGTAACTATGCTTAATATAGAGACAGTGATTATGACCCTTTTCGATCTTATAAATTATTTTTGTTAATTAAAGTTAAAGTAACTCTAGTTAGGGATAGTAGATGTAATAATATTACAGTTATAAAAATACAACTATGTTAGATTGGGATTATGAGGTGGCAAAAAATCGAATGTAATTGCGGCAATGGATAGACTGCTATGCTTTTAGGTTTCACTATTTACAGTGCTAGCGTGAACTATATCATCATCTCATCGCTGTTTAATCTGCGGTAAGAAATTTTCATTATCATTATAATGAACACAACAGCTCAGTGTGGGTCATAATCATACATGGCAGTACTTTTACTTTCGTTACTTGTACCGCCGGTACAAGTAAAAAGTACGTACTTTTACTTGTACTTCGTTACTTTTTAAATTTAGTACTTTTACTTGTATTTTCGTTACTTTTTTAGGGAAAAGGTAAAAGTATTTGTAACGGAAATATCGAATGAAATCGTTACTTTTTCCTAAAACTCGGTAAGCTTTTTTAAAAAAAAAAAAAAAAAAAAAAAAAGCATTGTGATTGCAATATATATGCATTCACAGCTTACTTCGTCCTTAAATACCTTCTGTTTCAACTTATACTGCACATTCAATTATTTTTTACTAGCTCAAAGATCACAAAGCTATCTGAAACACCGTGTTTGCTTTGTTTATGTTTGTGTTTTTAAAACGCGTTTCTAAAGAGTGAAACAATTTTAAATCAATGGTAATTTAAATAATAAACTAAAAATTAAAATCAATAGATAAAATTTCTTTTCGTGCAAATCCATAAATAGTTTAATATTAAAACTATATTTGATTTTAAAATTATATTATACGTTTATATTATAAAATTATACTATGATATTCTTCCGAATTTAAAAATAAATTGATGTCCATAACTTTCAAAATTAAAAATAATTAAATAAATAACAACAATTTTGCAAAAACATTAAAGAATATAAGAATATTATTCAATAAAATTTTAGGTTACTTTGAATTTTCGATTTCCCAGAAATGTACTTTTAAATCGTTACTTTTTTTGTTTAGTACTTGTACTTTTGCTAGTACTTTTTACTCGTTACTTTTTAAAGTAAGAACTTTTTGCTTTTTACTCGTTACTTTTTTTAAAAATACTTGTACTTTTACTCGTTACTTTTTAAAAGTAACGTTGCCATATATGGTCATAATATGGTTTTGGCCCTCGGTACTTACTGGAGTAATCAGTATGGCCCTAAGGCTGGAAAGTTTGGAGACCCCTGATCTAGATGATTTCAAAAATCGTATATGTATTTAATTTGAAGTAGAAATTTCAAAATTATTACAAAAAAAAAATGAAGAAAATAAATCAGTTGAAGCATGAAAAAAAAAAGTTCATAATCTCTC